ACTTTTCCTGACTGCCTTTTACATCTGTATTTTCTCAGCTGCCCTGAGAACTCCAGCAGCACAAGGCAGGTTCAAAACTTTCTCTACCTGCGTGCCACACCTCACTGTGGTGACCTTGTTTCTCTTTTCTGGTAATGTCACTTACTTGGGGACCGGCTATAAATCGGCATCATCACTAAATGTTTTCATGTCTGTGTTATACACTATGGTACCGCCCAGCCTGAACCCTCTCATCTATAGTCTGAGGAACAAGGCTGTGAATGCAGCCCTGGGCAAAATACTGCTGTTAAAATGTTACCAAAAACATAAATACCCTGCTGTCCTTAAGCCACCTGGCAGGCACACTAAATAAAGCAAGTGGAACCATTTCTTGAGATTTCGATCTATTAACATTTTATTATGTTCTCTATTTCTCCAGCAACAGCTACACCAGATTTATGTATCTGCAGCTTCATATCCAATAATACATGCTTCTTGTATAAACTTGAGGAGGGTTTTAAGAAACACAAAATGTATTGAATGCCTTCCATCATTAATTTCACGTCACAAGATTCCGTTCAAGTTCTTCTAATGGCTTCACTTCTTTTGTCAATACCATCACACACTACTTCTTTACATGATTATTTTATTTCTTCAAAATTTACACATTATATTTTTATTTCCTAACACTGTATTTTGCTACTTTTTGATAGAAAATATCAACAAAGGGAATCTTTATTTTTCTTATCATCATGAATTTTCTCTTTTCAAAAACTTAGAATAAAAATAACTTTACCCACTTAGTCTTCTGTTTAAAACATATGCATTACCTAGAAAATTATTAAGTAGCTATCATCAGTAATCAGCCATAAAGAAGAATCTTACGGAAGGTGATGGCAAATGACACATCTTTCACTACACGCTTCTGCTTAAAATCTAATTCTAACAAAAATAGTTTAATACCTTTTTCAGTCATGAGGAAGCTTGTGTTTTATTTTATCACCATACCTTTATTTACCTTATGTACTTTCATATTCTCTAAATATCATTTCCTGTTTCCATGGATGCCTTTTCTTATTGTATTTGTATTTTTGCTTCCCTTTTCTCTCCTTCCATTCTTATCTCATTCCCTTTCTTCTTATCCTTTTAACTCCCATGATCACAATCTCTTTTTCTCTCTTTACACCTTTTCTTTCTATCTCTAAAACAATAGGATAAGCGGAATGTTGCTCTGTGTGCCTTAGCCAAATAAACTGACATGTGAAAAAGGGCTTGTATCGCATCTTGAGTACACGTCTCTCCCCAAAACCCAGTCTATCTATTGCTTTACACTTTTAAAATTTCTCATCTTTGTTTATATCACGTAACTTTCTCTTTTAACAAATTAAGTATATTGATGAGTATTTGCTGTGAAATAAAAATACAATTTTTACTAAAATTTTATATTGAAAGAAATGAATGTTCCTTTATCAATATTCAAAAAAAGAGAACAAAGCTGGAGGAATAACCCTCCCAGATTTCAGACAATATTGTAGAGCTACAGTCATCAAAACAGTGTGGCATTGGCATGAAAGCAGACATATGGATCAATGGAACAGAATAAAGAGCCCAGAAATAAACCCACAGACCTATGGTCAATTATTCTTCAACAAAGGAGGCAAAAATATACAATGGAGAAAAGACTGTCTCTTCAGAAAGTGGTGTTGGGAAAACTGGACAGCAGCATGTAAATCAGTGAAGTTAGAACACTCCCTCACTCCATACACAAAGAATAAACTCAAAATGGCTTAAAGACTTCAATATAAGACAAGACACTATAAATCTCTAGAAGAAAACATAGGCAAAACATTCTCTGACATAAATCTTACCGATGTTCTTCTAGGGCAGTCTTCCCAGGCAATGGAAATAAGAGCAAAATTAAACAAATGGGATTTAATTAAACTTAAAACTTCTGCACCACAAAGGAAACCATAAGCAAAACAAAATGACAACCTCCAGAATGGGAGAAAATATATGCAAATGATGCAACTGGCAACGATTTAATTTCCAGAATATCAAAATAGTTCATACAAATTAGTAAC